TAGTTAGAAAGGGTCAAATAAGATGGTCAACATCCTAACTGGAATAGATTTTATGGGACAACTTTACTTTCCCTAAAAAATTCTTGGTGACAACCTTCGTAAAACAAAAAAGAGAAATAAATGGAATAAACATTCTGCAGAGTTCCATTATTCCTTACTATAAGTGAAATGAATGAACAAAAAACATGAACCATAAAAAGAAGAAAAGAAATTCATGTATGCCATTTAACATTTTTTTCTATAGAATATAGGAATGGAAAATTGTGGAAAAACAATGTTTTCACCACCAAACAGGGTACAAACTCAACAAGTACCCATATGGCCAGTCAGAGGCTCTCCTTACATAACTCAAATACTTATATTACATTTACACTTCTTTCAATTATGTACAAAATCTTAAGTTTGTGGATGGAATTTAACTCTCAAGATTACTCATAATACTTATATTTTTCTTACTGTTATAATGATCACTACAGCCACAACTATGCATGCATGCTTGCATGTATATACACATAAACACATATACATACATTCATACAAACTACACAAACATATTGACATACACACTTGCTCTGTCATATACAAATTCATTCACTGTAGTTGTAGCTGTAGGTATAACAGGAGTATTTGCATGATAAAAAATAAAAAATTCAAAAAATATCAAAGAATGAGTGAGCCTTTATAAATCATTCAACAATATGCATGATTTTCCCCCCAAAAAAATCTACCAATCCATTACGACAATCACTTTAGGAAATATTTAGAGTACATACGGCAAAATAAATAAACCTCACTATATACTGTATATGCACAAAGTGTCCATTTGTATCTGTGTGTACATGTGTATGTCTTTGCTTGTGTTCTTGTTTTTTTAGTAGAAACCTACGTACATTTATACATATACATATAGATATATATTTATTCATTTATAAAAAACATGTAATCACCTCATATGTGCAGCCTTAGAATGTATGTTCCCTCCCCTACATTCCTTCTAAATAATATTGCAGCAGTGTCCACCCTAAGAAAAATAGACAATTTTGATATACATTACCCCAACTTGAGACATATCACTAATTCACCAACACACCAACCCTCTCATATATTAATACATATGTACGTGAAAAACAATATCAGGAAACTAGAGGGCCATTCTGAATTGAATATTCAATAGCAAAATCCAAAATTATGAAACAAAGAAGAAAATCCATCCACACCAATCCTCTCCCTTAATGTACAGTCTTGTCCCATGTCTCATGTGTGCAGACTGATGACAAAAAGAAAGAAAGAAAGAAAAAGAAAGAAAAGAAAAGAAAAAAAAAAAAGAAAAAACATATTTCTATGAAAAGTGCTGCAGACCCTAAGTGTTCTGGGTGAACCTCTCTAGACGCCGCCTCCGGATTTCCTGTGGGCTGTCAGGGTGCAATTCATCTGGGGTTGAGGTGTCTGCAGAGGCTGAAGTTGTGGTGGTACTGGACAAGGAAGACGGACTGGCAGCTACAGAGGTTGATGATGTCACTTCACTTCTGTGAGTTGAGGGAATGAGTTAATACCCGAATTAAATTGTATTTTGCCAATTTTCAAGTTACAAGTATGTACATTGCTTAAATACTATTTTCTTTATGGGAGTGATGGATATCAAAAACCAGTCTAAAATGCCAGAAGTGGCAAGCAATTTGATATAAAGAAAACCTACTATAAACAAAACACTGTAAATGTGCATAAGTTGCCTCCTGCTTTTTCTATACACCAACCATGTAAATTTTGTTTTGGACACACACAGACACACATATGCGCGCACACTCGCACGCACGCATGCACTTCATTTTACAATGTTAATATAATACAGAAATGAAAAAATCAACTCAGACAAACATACCTTTTGAAAAAATGATAAAAAATAAAACATATACCTGGCTGCTTCATCATTAGAGGTTACTGAAGTTGCCTCCTTTAAGGAATCTGGGTCTCTTGAGTTTGCTCTGTCTGCTGCTGCACCCACCATAGGCTCTGCTGCCTGTGACGAACTAGGCTCCGGTGCTGATGCAGACTCTGTTGCTCCTGCCTGTTGCGGTGTAGCATTCCTTGGTATGGACTGACTGTTCATGTCTAGCGATGCAACAACTGATGCATACTGGTTCATCTGTAAAAGATTTTTCCCCTTAAGTTCCAAGGTACAATGTGCAGATGCTGCTAGTTCATAAGAAAGGAATTTTGGGATAATAATATGGGGGAAAAAAAAAAAAAAAGATGCCTTTAATCTATATATAAACATATATATTAATCTCTATATAAACATATATATCAATCTCTATATAAACATATATATCAATTTTTTCCTTAATTACATGGTGAAGGCAAACACACTTGGGGCGGTATTCACGAAAGGTCTGACTTTTAGCAATTTTTTCTATGATTTGCCATACCTCAAATTTAATGCAGCTAATTATAATAAACACATTCATATCATTATATACCGTTTTTTGATAATTCATTGTAATAAGACTAGGTAAGACTAGGCTTATATATATAATAATCTATAATATAAAAATGTGGGTTACTAAATTGATATTTATTTGTGAAATGCAGGAGATGGCTCAATTAACGTTTGATAAATTATCAATGGAGTTGAATTCTTGCTATTTTTGGAAACGCTTTGGAAAATGGAATACTCTTCAACTGAGGAAAATTTGCTTACAAACAAATAAAAGACAGTCCTTGTGTGTAAGTACAAAATTGAAGACAGTACTTACCTTTGTGAATAGAAAATATTAATAAAATATAGTTGACTATACTGATGTGACAATATATCAATAAATCTAACTTCTATAATGACAATAATATTGCACATTTTATATATCAAATTATCATTTGAGCTACCACAAGTTTGTTGTCACTGCATCAGCTGTAAACCTGCACGGTGCCATTTGTATTTTCAATGAAAAATATGCTTGAATAACGTAGAAAACAGATGAAATAATAGTTGACAATTAACCAGAATGAGCCCCAAAAGTCTAATTGACATTACTGATGTGTGATCATCTGTCTTTGACTCGGCAGAATTGTCTATGACTCCCCACGAAAATGTCTTTGATTGGCAGTTTTTGTCTATGACTCACCTAAAGTTTTAGGACAGGTGTGGAGGTGTCCCATGCATGTTGGGACTGTCTTTAAAACTACAATGAAAATTTACACACATTTGAAGATAGTCCTGTATCAAATATGATTGGAAAAACTTGAAAGCTCCTTTTGATTTATTACCAAATGTTAATTTAGTTCATTCCTACATTTTTCTATTCACAAACATGTGTGTACAGCTACACAGAAAAGCACTGGCAGGATGGGTGTTGAAATATTCAATAACAAACGGAACCTTATGTTAAGGAAGGGGTTGGTATTTTGGGTTTCGAATTTGTCTTGTTCTGTTACATGTCTTGAATAGCTGTTCCAGAATTCATATGAGATGATGGATTATGCATTGCAATATTCAGGTAAACCACACATACCCAAAAGTGGTTGGAATATCAGGGATACCAACAGTTTTATATTGTAGACAACTTTTTTCAAAAAGTATCATATCATAGCTTGTGTCAGAATGCTTAGCCTGATTTTCTAATGATATTTTTCTGTGTAGTTATACATGTGTATGTGTGTGACTTGTTCATTACCTGAACAACAGCTGCATCAAGAAGAGTCTGGATGTTCCTCAAGACCTTGATCCTGGCCTCGACATGTTGCCTTTCGTTGCCTTCCAGCTGGCGGACCTCATCCTCTGTCATGGCGGCAAAATTTAATGGAGGAGGTGGTGGAGGAATGTCTGGAAATTCAGAGTATGATTATCATTACTGTGAGATATCTAGAAGCAACAAATCTCAATGCAGAATGTAGTTTAAGTTTTATGCTCCTTACCAACCAGAAATAGAATTTAAAATGTTTCATGGTAATACAAATCTTATTTTACTGTATATCCTACTACTGAACACACAATTTGCAAAGTACCACTTGATAAAATACTAACCCATTGCAATATGGATACTTCTTTGCCAGCATGTGGCCCAAAATATCTGCATTAGGCTTATGTGGGTGGACACACTGCTGGGTGTGTGGCTTGTAGGCAAGGTGCAAATGAACACTCGTGTGTGGTGACAAGACTCCATGCCTCCTCTTTGAATTGTCATTTTATCTTTTTTGACTTCCTAGACACCAAATGAGTCTAATCATCTTCCAAGAGCTTTGTGCACTTGCACTGACTTTTCCCTATCACCCCGACCTTTAGCCAAAACGCTCATGATGTAAGTTCGCCTCACCCAGCCCACAGATAAATTTTTCCATGACATGATGTTCATGTCACCCGCCCCTCAAACCAATTTTTTTTTATGTGATGGTTCCATAATCTGGATTATAGGGTTTAATACACATCTAATGATATTAGGAGTAAAATGATAATCTTTAAAACAGTTTTGCTTCCATCTTTCCAGATCAACTAACATTACAGACAGAGCATATCACACTGAAAAACCTCTTACTTGACCATCAGATAAGATAAAGCTAAATGACTGAAAACCTTTAATAAGCTTTCAAGGAATATCAACCTCTAACATCATGAGTGAACTGTAAGCTATCATACAAAAAAAAAAGGACTCACTGAAGGGCAGGAGAGGGAAGAGTGGAGGCAGCATGTTGAATGGAGCAGTGGGGATGGCTCCTCCAGCCTGGCCTGTGCTGCTTGCTGCAATACAATACTCTTATCAGTGGACACTTATCATATTGAATGATAACTAAATGTACAAAGAGGATCATGCAGCCATACATAAAATCCAATAGGCCTACGCATTTATGCATACTCTCAACACATGCAAACATATGTGCCCGCCACCCACCCACCTGCCTGCTATCTAACTGCTTTCTTAAATAATAAGTTTATGTATAAATACAGTAAAATAACAAAAGTGTACAGTTTACTTAAACATTTATATTACAGCTATGTCATAGTCTTCACAGAAGGGAGCTTGGTGGTTCTTTGGCATCCTACCATGACCATAATTCTTTGGACTGTAAATCTGACTCCATCTATCTCGAATGTTTTGTCCTTTATAACAGCTATCTTTTCTTGTGTAAAATGGAGACCAATGGCCCCACATATCTCAACACACAGTCTTTCAGTCCCTTATAATAGTGAAATACACTCTTCACAGTTCCTGCTGCATCCATAACTATTTCCAGTACAATGTCCAAAATTTCAAGGCAGAAGTGCTTGGTAGACCACACACTATTTCATGGTGTTCTGTACACTATGGTAGCAACCATAATAAATGCAGGTTATGCCATAAATGTTACATATATGCATTCTTGTAAACTGGAATTACATTAATTAAAATAATTTCTACCTTGAGAAACACAATCTCTACAAAATTTCTTATATAATCCACCAAAGAGCACAGTTCTAGTAAGATTAAAACATTTACCTGAGGATGATGTGCTCGTAGAGGTTGTAGTGGTAGAGGAACTTGTTCCTGCTTCTGTTGTGGATGCAGAAGCTGAGGCAGCAGCTGCTTGCTGTTGCTGAGCCTGATGCATAGGCATAGGAGGAAATGGGAAGGGGGGCAGACCTACAGGAGGAGGGCCAACTGGCATAGGCATTCCCGCAAAGAGGCCAGCAAATGGATTGGCTGTTCGAAAGGGGGACATAGATTTATAATTTGGTCTTCCTACCTGTAGCCTTCATTTCAAATGCAAATTCATTTGTAATGCTTTGGATCTATAATAATAAATCTTAAACTCAAAAAGCTGTGTAAATGACACGTTCAACAGAACTGTTTAGGCAAGGAATAAAATAGAAACAAATTAAATTTAAAATATCAAAATTAGACAGACTCATTTTGAATTGCTAAAAAAAAAATCGAAACTGCTTTTAACAATCAAAGTCACATTTCTGTTGGAAAAGAAGAGGAAAAGAAAGATCCGCTTACGCATCTGCTGCTGAGCTTGACGCTGTTGCTGCTGTGGCTGAGGTGTCTGTGGCTGAGCAGGTGGGGTGGGGGGTTGCTGGGCATTCCGGGCAGCTGCTGCAGCACCAGCTGCACCACCTTGAGCAGGAGGGGGCTGTCTCAGGATGTCCATGCGGCAAGTAGGGCAGGTCTGCTGACGCTGGAACCATGAGCGGAGGCAAGAGGCATGGAATATGTGGCCACAGGGAAGTTTCTTGGCTCCTGAAACAACAATGGAAGAGGATTATTGGAGAATACTGGATAAGATGTGAGAAAATAATAGCAAACAGGGTGGAATTTTTCACTGAAGTAACATGTGAAAATGAGCACTTAAGACACCTGAATGTGTTAGCAGTCTAGAGCATCATAATCACTTGATAATAATACATAATACAATCTCTAAAGATGTATTTCATAATGAAGGAAGCAGAGGTTTTGAAAATTATCTAAAATAACATGCAGTATTTCATACTAGCAACCATTGCCCCTGGCAGAAAATGGGGTTCACTTGGCCTCAATTTCAAGAAGTATGCTTGGACAGCTGGACTTGCCTCGGGAATTTTTCAGATGTGGCTAGTATGTAGCACTCCCCGCACCACACAAAGACAGTGATTTTTAAAAAATTATATCACTTGTATGCAAAACATGATTTTAATGTTTTTGCATATTCATACATGCATAATATGCGTTTTAGTCTTAAGACTGAACCTGCTGTAGCCTTATGTACATAAGAGTCCATTTCATGTTTCTTTATGTATAAAATATAGAATGTAGTTTTATTGAGGTACGAAAAGAAAGAAACAAAGAAAGGAAGAAAAATTAGTAGAGTGCGTTATACTTCAAAAGTAGTAGTGAGTAGTTGACATAACAAGACTGATCTTGTAAACAAAAGTGAAGATTACCAAGAAGTTCACATCACACTTTGCAAGCGAATGATTTATGTGCTAAATTCACTCTTGATAAAAAACAATAGTTAATTACACATCTCTTTCTCCCTCAGGCAAAGGTTAGGGAATGAGGGTTCCTTATATAGAACATCATAAAATGTAGTGCACACGTCAGTACACCTGGACGGGATTGACCCGTTGACCGAGCTGTGCCCAAGTTGGCCGTGATGAGAATAACATGTAACCAGAAGCCATGATGTGAACCCCGCATCATCTGTAGACTAAGAACTAATAGGAAAAAGACAAAAAATACACGAGAAAAAGTGCTTGCTAACTTGTAGAGATACAAGATTTCTATTTCAGCTTCTTTTAGAACTATGGAAAATACAAGAGTAGGACTAAGAGCAAGAATTTTTGGGGAAAAGAAGGAAGGAAGGACAGGAAGCAAAAATGCTCAATTACCTGTTAGCATTTCCTCCCTACAGATGATGCAAACGTTATCCACAGCTCTTAGTTCCTCTGGAGTGGCATCAGGGTATAGTGTATTCATGTTGCGAATGGCACGGCGGGAAAGAATCACGTCGTTCAGGGCTCGTTTGAATGACCTGTCAAAAGAAGGTCATCATGGATTTTACAGCATATCTTTAAAACATATTAACCCACATAATATAGCTTACTACTGTGATGCCTGGCACACATCCCACCACTCACATCTGCTCTTTGGTCAAAAGATAATTATGCTACACAGATATTACCACATTTTGATAAAAAACAGAGGGCAAAGGAGCTTCTTGTGTGTATAACTATAGTACAAACAAATTAAAAATATAAAAAACAAACTAAACTTCTCAATACAACTGATGCTTTGCACACATGGAAAACACACTTAATAATTCTCTATACTGTTCATAAAATATCACTACCATTAATAATGCAAACACAGATACAATGAATGCCTTTCCAGTCTTCATTGTAAGTCGTATTACAGTGGAATTTGCACAAAATGAAGTCAAAAACAGTTAAACCAACATGACCTATTCAGGAAAATGAGTCTTCTACTGAACCAATATCACTAGAAACTTTCATATTCAAACCTTGAACTTTGACACTGATTCATGGATAATTCAATTTTAAAGGCATTGCAAACCCTTTTTTTCTACAAAGTTTCAGTAACTTACCTCATGGTCAGGTACATGGGTCTTATGATGAACAGTGGGAAAGTATGTATTCTTATCATGATGATCATGAACACAGCATACAAAACAACCTTGACAAATCCTGCAAAAGAGGTTACTCTCTGAATACTTCACACTTATAAATCAAGCTTTAACTACACTTAATATAATAATAATTCACAATAGATATATACATATATTCAAAACTACCTATAAAGCATACACAGAAATAGAACAACTCACCCATACAAAGTTCTGTATACAACAGATACATAGCCTTATTCTCCCACGGGTTCTCTGACTGCAAATCTACTGTGTGACACACATATTTAACTCCAATGTTTAGAGCCACGGTAAGGAGAATTGCATACTCAAAGCCAAACACCAGCTGAACAGATGCCCCTCGTGTTATGGTTGAGTGATATGCGTGGTTTACCAGCACTAGATCTAGGAGGCTCAGGAGGAGTAGCAAACCTGGAAAAGAAATATATTATCAATTCTAATTATATGTACTAATCTACTAATGTTTGTTTCATTACTTTCATCTATATTTCAAAAAATAGTATAATATTATTCTCTCAAATGCATGTTAATCAGAGACCATTTCCCTTTATTACTTGAAAAATCATAATCGGTTATCGAAGCAAAAATTATTCATAATTAACCCCTACGATCTGGATGATGTTACGGTCCATCATGGAAAAATCTGGGTAGAGGACTGGGTGACGTGAAAATGCTGTCATCGGATAAAATGGCCACTGGCTGGGTGATGCCAACTTCCTGTCATGAGCGAAGGCCAGGGTGACAGAAAAGACTCCCCACAAGTGCACAAACCTCTTGGAGTATGATTTGATTCACTTGGCACTTAGAAGGGAGCTTTAGCATTATTTCCATCCATAAACGAATGTGGAATGTAATGTGCGTGACTGGAAGATCACTGGCTCCAGGAAAGATGCCAGTTCCAAACTGCACACACTATTCCTGGCTACTGTGACCGGCAGCGCAGATTGTATTATGGAAAATTGAAAATTACAAAAAAATGAGATGTATGATACAAATAACCAAATGTTCCAGACTTTTTTCTCTTGCTCTGAGTAATTTACTACAGAGAGAGATGATATGGAGTCTGTGCAAGGAAAATAAGCTATTACCATTTGGATAAAGTAAATAAAAAGACAAATATGGACATTGGAAAAGGGCAAAAAGCCTAAAAAAGTTTACGCAAAATAATTTTGTAAATGGGAGGCACGGACTCTTGTCACCGTTCATGGGTGTTCACATGTGCCCGGGATGTTGGCTACTTATGTAACCCACTGCCCGTATTTTCAACACCATGATTTCCTTGACACAACCAGATCCAACGGGTTAAAGGCCAAACCATAAAAACTAAATTTCAAAACCAAAGCCCAAACAACTTACATGTGACCCGAACATGGAAGAGCAGGGTGATGACTGGTGAGCGTTCCATGAAGTCTACCCTGTAGTCCGCCAGCCAGTGGAATGTCTTAAGGAACAGCAGCACTGTAAACAGTGCTACAAACTTGGGGGAGAAGTCGTCGCGAAAAACAGTAAAGGCGAGGCAGGTCTCCGTGACAGCATAAAAGGATCGCTCAATAAGGTGCTGTGGTGGATCGGAAAACATTAACAATGAGAAATCCATATGGCATGAGGTAATAACCAAAGCTTTACATAAATTAAAACCATCTAACTTCAATGCTCTTAAAACATAATCATACCAGAAGACATCCCTAATGAACTTCACTTCTGACAAAAACTTTGATTATAAAACAAATGCCTCCTTTACCTCAAACTCAGCTGCACGGAGTGCACCAAAGAATACTTTCTTCAGTAGTTTTCCTAGCAGTATAACCATTGTGAAGGCTAAGAGGTATATTGCCTGAAATTTAAGATAAACAGATGATGAAAATTAGATATAAATATATGGACTGAATAACAATAAAAGAGATTAATTACATCAATATACTGCACATTAGAATGATGAAAAATAGACATAAATATATGGAATGAATAACAATGAAATAGATAAATTACATCTATATATTGCAAAGTACACGTGCTGAAATCGTGGGATTGAGCAATGTCATTTTAAACACGGTGACAAAATATGACAAATATAACAACAGTAATAATAACAATTATGATTTATTCCCATACATGCATAAAATCTGAGTCAGAAGACTTCAATATCCTGCCCTGTGTTGCAAGTATCCTATGTGATAGTCTATTACTGACTTCAACTTCTAAAACTGGCAGTGAACCTAGAAATTGCCTTAAAAAAAACTTCCTGTTTTGGTTTGCATGAATTCACACTCCCATTTTCTTTAACTGAAATAACCATTGCACCGCATTTGATAATCTTGTGTAACCCCCTGCAAAGATGCAGATCTATATTACACATATGTCATTTTAGGATAAAATTGAATATGATATGCTTGTAGAGGACAATAATTGCAGTCATCAGTACAAAATAATCTGCAGACATGAGTGGTAATGCCACAAATCAAGGAAAAAGATGGCAGAAAGCACCACTCTCAGTCAAAGTACACTCGGTGCTCCTGAGTTTTAGCTCTTATCTTGCTGTGTATACCAAGGTGAAGACAATGTTTCCTGTGAGGTGTTGAGGGGCAGAGCCCCCCATCAACCCATCAACCCTACCTGAAGGGCAGGCCCAATCATGGCAATTTAGATTGAGGAATAAACTTTTTGATGTGAAGATGCGAGTGCATCCATACTGTAAAGGATTATCACATATGGCAATAAAAAGAAGACTAGACTATGATATTGCCTCGAGTACAGTATCTAACCTAATCGCAATCCTGAAGTGGCAAGCAGCTAGCTAATGGTGCCTTGAAGCTAAACCCCAATTCACATGCACCTTTCACTGGTTTGCCTCCCACAAATACCCAACAAAGTTTATCTAACCAGCTACCAGATATAGGTGAACAGACAATAATGCTTATGTGCATTTAGGCATCATATATATAAGGCGAGTGATTGAATAAAGAAAATAAAAATAATTTCTCAGTTGATATTTCATGTATACAATAACACTCGGCATGAAATGGATAAGAATGCAGTCGAAGGAATCTACAGTTCATATTTCAATAACTTTGCGATATAGTCATCAGGTCATTGCCAAAGAGGAAAAAGGATTGACACATTATCTACATCATGTATGTATGTCTTATTTGCAAAAGATATTGCTAATGATTGCTGTGTATATATATATATATATTGTCTGTACAGTACACATCTGATTCATTATCATCATTGTCATCTTATATCTAATGCCTGCAAAGAAATTAATACCTGTGTACATCTGTATTTCTAATAAAGATTTAAGCTCATTACATATGACCATAATTTAGACAACAATTTCTAAATGACTTGAGTGAATAAATATAGGAAAAAAAAGTGTTAAAATACAAAAACAACTCTGCTGTGCTTCGCTGCAGTGTGTACCTCCTTTTAGCACAAGAGTGTCAATTATGTGACATCTTCAAAGGCTGAGGTAACAAGTATGTCAGCTGCATCGGTAACCTAAACAAACCAAACGTAACCATAACAAAAAATGATATTGTGCTCCAACTCTAAATGCTTTATGGCTGCTTCAGGCTCAAGAAAATCCAGAAATTCATCACCAATTTTTAATAACGCTGTTTCTGCACAATTTCAGGATTCTAACTGATCCGGATGCTTCTGCTTCCGTGTTACAACCAATCACAGCGAGCCTGATGTTGCCCATGCTCAGACTAAACTGCCAGGGAGCATCACAGCAAAATAAGTGTTTTTTGAACAGAGACGGTTCATGGCTATACAAACCCTTCGTATTGTAATTACTCAAATTACACGACAAGCTATGGAGCGTTACTTATTTACTATGATTTCCAAATGTAATAATGATATTATACGAAACTTCAATCACCTCCGCCCCATCGCAAGTAGATTGATGAATAAATAAACTGACACATACATAAATTATCTGACAAAAGCCAAAACACAAGCCATTACCACAAGCCCGTCTTTTCGCTAAAATTACAACAATCATCCACTAAAAAATATAATGGGAAATGATGACGAAAAAAAGAAGAGAAGAGAGGATAAGAACAACACAAACATTTACTTACTGCCATACTGGGGTTGGATTTTGTGATATAAACAACCGAAGGATAAAACTGTTTCTTCTGATAGTATGCATTTCCTATTACAGCAGCAGTGAGGGCAAAGGACGCCATCGTCAGCGCTCCTACGGGCATAGGAGCCGGCATCTTGGATAAATTGATCCAATTTACCCAACAAAACCGTAGAAACTGGCGTCTGTGCGGGTGAAAATATTGTTGTTTTTCCTGTCGCCTTCACTGTATACTCGACCTCTCAGCTGACATTCGGGGGGTGCATCTTTCGGGTTCGTCGTGTTATTTCGCTTTCTTTGTGCAAGAATTATATATCCGTCTTGATTCTATTTCGGGACTTCTTGTATCTATAGATATATTTCCGATTGAGGGAGTGTACATGTGGGGTTCGATTTCAGTACGAATTTCTTTGGAATGTATATACCCTTTATTTCCACGTTAGGCAAAATGGCTCTTTCTGATTGGCTGCGATTCAGGCGCGAAGTTCGAAAGGATGTTTGTATATCGGCTGGTGGAAGGCTGTTGAACCCTTTCATTCCACATTGCCATATCATAAAGATAATAGTTATCATAACCCTTTGATATACGTCTTTATGGTCATTTTAATAAGAAATAGCGCTGCCGTTCCTCTCATTTTCATTAATTTGATTTGTCGTTATAGTTGTGATTATTGTCATTTATGACTACCTTTATCGTCATTATCATGATCCTTTTTATCATCATCATCATATCATTATGATTATTATTATCATTATTACTATTATCATTACTATTATTATTATTATTATTAATGTCATTATTATTATTATTATTATTATTATTATTATTATTATTATTATTATTTATTAATCATTATTACCATTATTATTATTATTCATTATTATTATTATTATTATTATTATCATTATTATTATTATTATTATTATTATTATTATTATTATTATTATTATTATTATTATTATTATTATTATTATTATTATTATTATTATTATCATCATTATCATTGTTATTATTATCATTATTATTATTATTATAACATATTATTATTATTATTATTATTATTATTATTATTATTATTATTATTATTATTATCATTATTATTAATATTCTCATCATCATCATCAGTATCATTATCATCATCATTATTATCATTACCATTATTATTAGTATATTATCATTATTGTCATTTCTATCATCAACATTACTGCTATCATTATTATTATCATTATGCGTGTTATGCGCCCATTAACATTGAGATTGAGATTGAGATTATTATTATTATAATTATTATCATCATTGTTGTTAATATCTTTATTATCACCATTGTCATGCTAATAATCATAATAGTAATCTAATGATAATTTATTTAATCATGATAATGATAATGATGATAAGAACTACAGTAACAGCACAACAATAATGATAATAATATTAAAAGTGATGATTATTATAATACAAATAGTTTTAATAATAATCCTGACTAGGAAGAATAAGAAGAATAAGAATAAGAATAAGAGGAAGAAGATGAATAATAATAATAATAATAATAATAATAAGAGGAAGAAGATGAAGAAGAAGAAGAAGAAATAATGATAATGGGAATGAATGATAGCTGTGATAACAGAAATAATGATAATAACGAAAGAAGTATGGTAGTAATAAAAAAGTTTTATGTAGATGTTATAAGCAACGAAAAAAATAAAACAGCACTATCGTTAACAATGAAATTAACACGTAGGCCTTGATAAATGTTTTTTTCAATTAATTTAATACAGTCATTAAAAAATGGTTTCGAAGTGTTCTGGCTGCATCACATTTTCTCTCTCATGTCTCAGTTGCCATTTTCTTTTGCCTGCTGAAAAGAGTAAGGAGTAACTCTCCTAGATTTTACATTATTTATCATTATTATTATTATTTTTCTGTTATTATTATAATTTTATTATCATTATTATTATTATTATTATTACTATCATATATCTTAAATGTTGTTTTTTATTGTTAATTCATTATGAATTAGATATACATATAAGCAACCTGTTTATAATTTTTATCATTTATTTCTTATCACAAAATGTACGTAATCTTTAGGCAAAAAGATGTATTTCTTCACCTTAAGTGTTGTTTTTCATTGTTAATTCATTATGAATTAGATATACATATAAGCAACCTGTTTATGATTTTTATCATTTATTTCTGATTATTTATAAGCAACCGTTTATGATTTTATCATTTATTTCTGATTATTTCTTGTATTCGTAGATGTAGTTGTTTTCAAACATTTGAAATGGGCAAATGAATTTTTGTTCAGGCATTCAGGAAGCAGCGTCTAATGTAATCCTTCACTCACAATCACACATACATCAAGCATTCTACACGATAATATTACATACTATCGGTACTCTCTCTCTCTCTCCTCTCTCTCTCCTCTTCGCTTTCTCTCATCTATTCTCTTCTCTCTTCTCTCTCTCTCTCTCTCTCTTCTCTCCCTCTCTCAACTCTCTCTCCTCTCTCCCCTCTCTGCACAGTCAAACAGATACACACACACACACAACACATTTACACAGACACAGCAAGAAACACACACACACACACACACACACACACACACAACACAACATATATTATATATATATATATATATATTATAATACACACACACACACACACACACACACAACACACACACAGCACACACACACACACAACACACAACACACAACACATATATATAATATAATATATTACTAATATATACTTATATATACATATATATATATTATGACAACACACAATATAA